GTTAGCTTATGTAGTCGTAGGCCGTCCTACACGCATGCACCCGGGTATTTTGTTCTTGAAGTTTTAGGAGGGGGGGGGGGGAGAATATATTACTTAGCATCTTCCGCAACTTCAGTCACTGAGGACTTTAAAGGAACTGATCTCTTTTCACATTTTGGCAGGGTGGAATGCTTTGTGTGATTTTTAGTGAGCTTTATTTTGGGATGCAATGCTGACTGACTTGTCTACCTTTTCTATTGTGTATCTTTACTATCTTCTGAGTATTAATCAATAAATTCAAATGTCTCTTATGTAAAGATATTTGATATTCTAAGTTTTACACGTGATATATACAAATACAAAACAAGAAAAAAGAGGCTAATTACAACCCTTTAAAAAAAGTTTACAATTGTGAAAGAATTCAATGATGACTTCATTATGAGTACTATAAACAATGTCTTTTTATGTACATACAATCAAGTTATAGATTGATGACCTTTAATTTCACAGTTTATTTGACAAACTATCTTCCAAACATTATCATTAAGGTATCAAAAATAGCAAAGTCATTAAATGAGAACCAACGAGGTAGGCAGAACATTACAATTGACACCTGCTTAAAAATATGTTAATTAGCGGACGTAGAAAAATAAATGCAGCCAGCCTCTGAAAAATAGAGGCCAATTACAGGTTAATTGCTAGCAAATTTTCGTACGAATTAAGAACATAGAAATAGAAAAGCTCTAAATGTAAATCAACGCTGATTGCAAAAAGCTCGGAGACATTAAACATTGTACACATGCAATTATAGACCAATCACAAATATTCTCAGAAAAGCACTATCGAAGCATGTAAGTCATAGGGTGGACATAGTAACATGTATTTGAGTAATGTCCATGAATCAGGTGAAGTTTAGCATTGCTTTAATTGGGTGAGTGCTTTTTTATTTTGCCAGCATGATTTTAAGCAATTGAATGCACCTTTTGCCTGTAGCTCTGCTCGGTTATCTTAAAAAAACCATCACTCAGTGTTGCTTTGTAGGATGTGAGTTGCTAGGATGGCAATTTACAGACTTCCTTCAGTATATTCTTCTTGGCTCTTTTTTAATTGTAACTACCTTTGCTATTTTTTTCGTGTATCAGTGATGTCTGCACATCTGTTTCTAGCTATACACTGAATAGTGAACCTAAAGTTTTACCCTTTTTAAACTTCTAGGACCCTGAAACCAAAAAGCTTCGTGTGAAGATCTACGTTGACAAAGAGACGGGAAGGAAGAAGGGTGATGCACTTGTCTCATATCTGAAGGTACTTTTTCCATTGGTGTGGTTGTGAATGTGACATGTAATATTGTTGTGTCTTCTTTATAAGGTTTTGTTATGTTTACTCTGTATTAGGAACCTTCAGTTCCTCTGGCCTTGCAAATTCTGGATGGGACACCTCTACGGCCTGGTGGCAAGATTCCTATGTCAGTTACTCAAGCTAAGTTTGAGCAGAAAGGTAAACTCTGTGCACTGCCATGCTTTTCATTGGAACACTTACATTCAATGCTGGATACAAGATGAATCTAGCTTTTCTAGAAACCTATGTTATTTTATTGATGAGTTTTTATTACCCTTCCCAGGGGATAAATTTATAACCAGACAAGTGGATAAGAGAAAGAAGAAGAAACTTCAGAAGGTTGAACAGAAGATACTTGGCTGGGGTACGTTATCTACTGTCCAAAAATGCTTTTGTTGGTATGAAGTTGGGACTTCACCTTTCTAGAATGCATTCCTGTTCAATTTTAGCAAGAGTGATCTTGTCTTCTCCATACAAATTAATGTATTCTTGAGTCTTAATCTTATTTCTCAAACATTTTTGGGACATAGTGCGGTGTATGTATGTACTTATATTTGATGTTACCTCTGGTGTTCTAGCGAGATGTGTGATTGTGCATGCACTGCTGCCAGTTTTGCCTATTTGGAAGAAACATGTCTTTGTAGTTTCTTCGCTTTTGATGTTCGTTCTGATTATAGGCTTACATTCGCAAGGAAACAAAGCTTAGTGTTTCTTATTTGTAGAAAGACAAAATTCTATAGATTAGTTTTGCAACATGTTGCAACTTCTTGTTAGAATACTTGCAGGGAAATAAATTATCTTTAGAAAGTGAAATAAATTCTTTCGGTCACCACTGTACAAATGTACCTTTCATAACATTTTTTGAACTGTCAGATAAAAAAAATGAGCAAGATGTAGAGGTTTGCTGCAACAAACTAGGATTTCTTTACTACTAAAATAGAATGGACTTCATGAGCTATGAAGCACGGATACCCTCGAGAAGGTGACGCATCCGTATCGGATATTGGCACGCTCGGATACGTGTCCGATACTCTTTTATCGGTATCCATAATTGAATGATATATTTTTAATTTTGAAAACTTTTATGACACTTCTTTAGAATGTGTCTACTTGTAAACAAGAGACATGTGTTGAAATGTGATTAACAAAGTTTAAAAATTTGAGAATATATAATTACTGACACTAGACATGTTAAAGTTGTACTTCAAATATAATAATAAAAACAAAATATGCATACAAATTTTAAAAAAGAGGAATTGAAAAAATGAGAGCAATTATTTAAATTATATATTAGGTACACATTGTCTACAAAAAAAATTGATGAATTATTAACTATTATGAGGATATTTTAGTCTAAAAATTCACACAGATGACATGACATTAGATTTACTTATGATAAAATATTTTATGAATTGTATATCATTATTATTATATTTGCAATAAATTATATAATGTTATATATAAAATATATATTTTTTTGTAGCGTGTCCCTAACGTATCCGTGTCCTACTTTTTAAAAAAATGTCGTATCGGCGTGTCCGTGTCCGTATATGTGTTTCTTAATTCATGAGATTTGACGTGATTATGCGGACACCCCTCAAATTGGAAGAATGACAAGGAGGCCCCAATCATTGGATGACATTAACATTTTCAGCATAAAGACTACTTGACCATCATGTAATTAATCATAGTTGAGTAAACGAAGATAGATTTGGATACATGCCTAGATCCACACCTAGTCCCGTACCAGTCAACTAAAAATTGAGTCCCGTCCCCCAAATGGACCAAACTTGCAGGTATCTCTCTCTTTCTCTCTCCTCTCCCCCATATCTATTCTATTCAAGAATTGGCCTAAGATTTCCGGTGTTTGCTATTTGTTATCACCAAGAGAAATGAAATTGTTATAGCATCCAATACAAAACCAATTGGCAAAGAGGGAAATAGCTCCTCAAGTCTATAAATCAACGTTGGGTGGTTCTAATTATTCCATGGAGGATAAAAGTTCTCTTTACACCTTCCCTCGTGTGGGATCTGGGCTCGCGTGTGGGGCTAACTGACAAACAAATAACCATGTATACCGAAAAAATAATCAAATGGGTATGGATCAAAATTTTATTTCGGTGTATTGTTTCGGTCACTTAGGAAACGGAAACGTTTCGACGTGTTTTGGAAACATAATGAAAAAAATAAAAAATTTAAGAATTATTTTTCTAAACATTGATTGAAATATATTAAAATATCTTGAAATACTTTAAAACATTTCGAAATAATTGTGCAAATGCATTAAAATATTATAATATATCTCAAAACATTATGAAATACCTCGAAATATTAGAATTTCGATTCTATCACTGTTTCGTTTCGGTCTCCTTAAAATGAAAACCGTTTTGAACGTTTCGACCGTTTCGAAACAATATTTTGATCCTTGTAAATGGGTAAGGGACATGGCACACTAACGAGTCAAGGATGCTATGTTAGATCATCTAATTTAAAACTAATTGTCAATGAGTGGAGTAGTTCCTCAAGTATATAAATCAACTTTAGCTGATCCTAATTATTCGTTGTGGGATTCAAACTCTCTTTACCGAAACAATTGAGCAAAATGAACCAGTGTAGGATCAAAAGGAACGTAATTTGAATTGCAACAAAAATTCTAGCGAAAATAACATGCAGACCCATTTGGAGTTTGGTCAAATTAGGTTTATTGGTTGATCCCTTCCTTTTTGAACTTTTAGGAGAAGAACATCTATGTGACCACATATCTCACTTGATTCTCAATTTTCTCTATCAAATATTGTGATTTATATGGAGTTTTGATTGGTACAATGCTGACTCTTCTATAGTTCTACTCCTTTCCCTCCTCCCATCATACACTGCAATTGTATCCCTATACTTCATGTTTCTCATTGCACAAATTTGACCAATTGACGTACTGGTTTCTCTTTCCTTCTTTTCTTTTATTGATCTCCTGCTCCTTTTTTTTCCGGTGCTTGGGCTTCGATAATAAGTCATTCGTCTACGATGTTTGAGATTCCAATCGAAAGCAAAAGCTTTCTGGTTGAAGTGTGGATGTGTTTCACTAGTATGAATGTCTGTATAACTGAAAGAAGCTGAAAGGTCAAGTTTGACATTGAATTACCTGTGAATGTGCTAAATGACTGGGATAGTCCATGAAGAGGGTTGTAACATCCTCTGAGACTTTCTTCAATAAGTATAGAGACAATTCATTTGTGAGCTGAGTGGAGGTGATAAAAAATAATAGATGCACCTTTTTGAGTATTTCCAAGAAAACATGGAATGAAAAATCAAGCTGGTTGATGGTTCCTCGAGGCTTTGAAGGAAATGGTTAGTGGAAGCTAGGAAATTTGATTTTGAAGGTTTGTTTTGGCAATAGTTACTTTTTTGGGAGGCCTAGTTACAATGTTACTGACGCAGCAAATAGAGACTATGGTTATGCTAAAAGCAGCATCTAGAGAACTCTAGAACGGAGCAACAACTTCGAATCTCTCGGTCTACCTATGGGTTGCTTAGGATGGAAACATGAATGTGGCTGATATAAATAATTGGAGTAGAGTAGTCGTCTGTGTAAGGTTTTGATTCATGGCGTGACATACGTAAGGTATTGGCTAAGTTTTGGAAGAGTAATTTTAAGATGATGCCTTTCCAACCTGAAAGAGCTATTTTCTTTTGTGAAAGTGATGAGTTGTGTGATAAAATGTGCAAATTTGAGAGAGATTGTTTAAAAGGACTTGTTATGGTGAGGTTGCGTAAGTTGACTCTGAATGCCACAGTTGTTCACAATAAGGTATCTTTCTTTGGAGGATGGATAGCTATAGATGCTTTCCATTTCATCCATGGTAATTAGAGGTGTTTTAGAAGATTGAGGATTGATGTGGGGGATTTTTGGAAGTAGATAATGACATATTGAGCATGTGAAATCTAATCGAAACATAGATTAGAGTGGATAAGCAATTTTAGGGCTTGTTTTGTCTTTGTTAAGCCTTGAATTGGACGAAAATGTCTATAAGGTGAGAGTGAGGGAGAGGTAGACCTGGCAGAAGAATAGTGCTTGAAACAAATAGGATAGAAATTCTATGCATTAGACCTAATGTTGAAGATGATAGGCTTAGGTTTGCTAAGACATGTGGCAAGTGGGCAAGTGTTGTATGGTGAAACTGTAACTCTGGAAAGGAAGCAGAAAAAGTTTAATGGAAAATAGGAGACAAGTTTAACGAATTTGGAATAAGAATTAATAACGACAAGGCTTGAGATAATGATGCATTTAAGAAGGATTTGAATTTTAAAATGGGTACAAATGAGAAGAATGCAAAGTTGATGGATGTTAAAAGAGGGTGGATTTGGATCGGGGTGGAGTGTTATCAAAATCGGACTGGATATCAAGCCGACAGAGTGACAGGATCAATGGTTTACTGGTTCAATCGTTGGGTCAATTGGTCGGACTGGTTGAATAATAAAAAAATTATAAAACATAATAATTTAACTAAAAGAATACCAAAAAATATCCACAATGCATATAATTTGCTATAAAACAAAGAAACTAAATGTTTTCTTTTTATATAGAAAGGTCAAATCGCTGAGTGCAGGTACGTTGTACACGAAGAAGACCAAAAAAGAAGAAACTAATTACAACTTTCAAACAAAGTATAATGTATAGGAAGGGGAGAGTGAGAGAGTGGGGCTTACAATCACCGGAGGAGAGAGATCAAGTGGAGAAGCTGAGAACGAAAGTCGAGAAGGATGGTTGAGGACGCAAACTAACAGATCTAGCATCCTGAGTCGCAGTGCTTCGATGAAAGCTGGATAGTTGGTGCTAGAGAACTATTAATTTTAGTGAAAAATTGGGGATTTTGTTTTTGTTTAATAATGAATGGCATCCGAACCATCCGGTTCACTAGTTTTGCCAAAAATCGGCTAGTTTTGCAGTTTTTTGACGTTTTAATTGCATAGGCTGTCCAATGTAGAAATTGGACTGGTTTAGCCTTCGGTTCTCTGGTCCGTTCCAGTTCTAATAACATTGCTAGGTGGTGTTCCTTGCTTGAACCAAGAGCCTAAGCTAAATGGTAAAATAGGCGGACTTGAAGGCAAGATTGTATGGATTATGTGGTTCTAGGTGGTGTTTGTGGTTGATTTCAATGTTACTAGATTTGTGCTTGAAAATATGAATAGGGGTAAGATAACTAGAAATATGAGAGATTTTAATGAATTAATTATGGAAATGAAGAGATCCTTTTTTAAGTAATGCATTGTTTACTTGGTCAAATTTTAGGTGGAATTTGGTGTGAATTAGATTGGCCAAGTTTTTGTCTCTTTGGAGCAAAGTTATCAAATCGTGTATCGGAAGGCGTATCGTAAGATACAAATATTGTATCGTATCGTGTATCGTAAGATACGATGCAATTTTAAAT